TTGAACATATTCGTGGACTGCCAGAATAAACAGGTCTGTCTTGGAAAGGTTGAAACCGAGGCAAGGATTTTGAATCTCTATCTCACATACTTTGGGCACATGGCCAGAAGAGACCAGTCTTTGGAGGGGGACATCATGCTTGGAAGGATGGAGGGACAATGCAGGAAAGGAAGACCCAGAATGAGATGAGTTGACACAGTGACTGGAGAAATGGGATTAGGTCTGTTAGAGACATATGAGATTGACTCAGGATAGGGCAAGGTTCAGAACTAATGTACAGAGATTCACTTTGAGTTGCAGGCAACTCGATGGCACATAACAAGAACCACCACCACCAGAGTCTAGCAACTCTGGATGTTGAGTTACATGAGTCAATAGTTGCCCATTTTTGCTCTGGTGACTTAGTGTCAAGGAGTTGTAAACCCAAAGTTGCAAACCCAAAGGCATGTGGTTCAAATCCACCAGCTGCTCTGGGAGGAAAAGCTAAGAAATCCTCTCTTTTGCGATGTACTGCTGCTGAAAACCCCCTGGAGGGTCAGCTTTGTGTTGGTTCTGACTTGACAGTTCCAAACAACACCACCACTATGAATTAGGTTTCTGTCACTTACAAGCAAGAGAGGCGAAAGTAATTTTGCAAAGTGGGTGTTAGGGGTTATGCTAGACCTAGCAACATGGAGGTGACCAGCAGCCCTTCGTCCCTGCCTCTCGGAACCATAGCCTAGGAGATACTAGGCTTCCTGCTGGAGGCTGACTTGCCTGTGGGCTTCCCACTGTACCCGCCTAAAAAACCACCCTTCTGGGTCGTCCAGCCTCAAGGTTCCATTGTGACTGTTGTTGAGTGCCCTCAAGTCGCCTGTGGCTCATAGCAATCCAACACCATACTCCTGATCTCAGCCATGCTCAGCCCCATTGCTGCAGTCACTGTGTCAGCCCATCTGGTTGAGAATCTTCCTCTTTTTAGCTGATCCTCTACCTTTCTGAGCACGCTGCCTTTTTCCAAGGACTGGTCCCTCCTGACAACATGCCCACAGTGTGTGAGACCAAGTTCCACCATCCTGGCCTCCAAGGAGCGTCCTGGATGAACTTTTTTTTTTTAAACCCAAATGAAATATTTTATTCACATTAGCCACTAATGTCCTTTTGGTTAAGGAAAAATACAATTCCTTTGCATATATGTTGGTATACAATTTTTAAAAAATTATTATTATTATTATTAATTTTAATGCAAATTTAGAGACTTTGGATTTCCATTCATTCGTTGTTGCACCATTCTCCCTGGCCACCCCTCCCCCCAGTTCACTCTTCTCTTTGAAAAGTAAAAGAAAAATTCTCTCATTGTTATACAATCCCTCCTTCCAAGTCCTCTCCACTGTGCAGCCTTCTGGATGAACTTTCTAAGACAGATTTGCTTGTTCTTTTGGCAGTCCATGGGGTAGTCTGTACTCTTTGCCAACACTCCAGTTCAAAGGCATGTATTCTTTGGCCTTCCTTATTCATTGTTCAACTACCACAAGTGTATGAAGTAATTAAAAATATATGGCTTGGGTCAGGTATACCCTAGTTTCTAAACTGACATTCTTAACCTTGAGCATTTAATTTTTTTCTTTTTTAAAAAATTAATTTTATCACCAAAGAAGACATTCAGATGGCCAACAAGCACATGAAGATATGTTCAAAATCCCTAGCTCTAAGAGAGATGCAAATCAAAACAACTATGAGATAGCATCTCATTCCAGTAAGAATAGCAAAATTTCACAGAACAGCAAGCAACAAATGCTGGCAAGGTGGTGGAGAAACTGGAACCCTTATTCACTGTTGGTGGGAGTGTAAAATGGTGCAACCCGTGTGGAAGGCAGTGTGGTGCTTTCTCAAAAAGTTGCAAATAGAGATACCATTTGATCCAGCAGTTCCACTACTGAGAATACACCCAAAAGAGACCATAAATGACATCCAACCAGATATATGTACACCCATGTTTATTGCAGCTTTGTTCACAATAGCAAGGAGTTGGAAACAACGCAGGTGCCCACCAACAAACGAATGGATAGAGAAGCTGTGGTATATTCGCACAATGGAATACTACCATGCATTGAAAAACAAGGAACTCATGCAATATTATTCAAAATGGGTGAGCCTGGAGGACATTATGCTGAGTGAAATATCCCAGTCACAAAAGGACAAATACTGCATGGTGCCACCGTTGTAGAGTGGGACTGATATCAGGGTTGGGGTAAGACTGAGAAAAACTGGATAAATTATGTATACTGCATTGAAACAGATGAGGGAGAGAATACTTTCAAAGTGATATATGACAGGGTATTATAGTTATCACAAGAGTCCAGAGTTAAGGGTGCATAGTGGAGTGTGCTTGAGGCGGTGGGAGGGGTGAGGGGGTATTGTATACCAAAGAAAGAATTCTTTTACTTTTTCAAAGAGGAGCAAACTGGGGGAGGAGGATATGGGGGAGGGCTGGGCAGGGAGAAAAGTGCAACAATGAATGAATGGAAATCCAAAATCTCTGTAAATGTTCATTAAAATTATTAAAATAAAAT